TGTTTTAATCACTATTTTGTACAATTTAGTTAGCCAATTTGAGGCAATCTGTAGAGTTGTTCTTGCTCAAATTCCTCACTATTTTCGAGCCACTTTAGGTGTCGGTTTGGGCTGATCGGTTTGGGCTGATTATGATGGGCTGATTATGAGCACTATTTTGGAACTACATAGGTGTTGTCCACCACTGTTTGGGTTCGTAGGAAGCCACATAGGTGTTGTCAACCACTGTTTGGGTTCGTAGGAAGCCACCTACGTGTTGTCCACAATTGTTTGGTTTCGTAGAAAGTCATTTAGGTGTTGTCCACCACTGTTTGGGTTCGTAGGAAGTCACCTACGTGTTGTCCACCACTGTTTGGTTTCGTAGGAAGTCATTTAGGTGTTGTCCACTACTTTTTGAGTTTGTAGGAAGCCACCTAGGTGTCGTCCACCACTGTTTGGGTTCATAGGAAGCCATTTAGGTGTTGTCCACCACTGTTTGGGTTCGTAGGAAGCTGCATATGTGTTTTCCACAACTACTTGGGTTTGTAGAAAGCATCTAGGTGTTGTCCGCCACTGTTTGGGTTCGTAGGAAACCACCTAAGAGCTATCCACCGTTGTTTGGATTCGTAGAAGGCCACATAGATGTTGCCCACTGCTATTTTGGTTCGTAGGAAGTCATCTAGGTGTTGCCCACCGATGTTTGTGTTCCTAGGACGCCGCATATGTGTTACTCATTGTTGTTTGGGTTCATAAGAAGTCATACAGGTGTTGTTTGAAGTTCCTAGCTGTTGTTCGGAGTCGTAGGAATCACCGTACACACTTGTTAGTTGTTGCTCGAAGCCGTAGTAGGTCGTAGGATCGCCGCACTAGTTCATAGTTGTTGTCCGGATACGTAGGAATCACCGTGCACACTTGTTAGTTGTTGTTCGGAGTCCTAGGAGGTCGTAGGACCGCTGTACTAGTTCTTAGCTGTTGTCTGGAGTCGTAGGATCACCGTACTAGCTCGCTAGTTGCAGTCCGTAGTTGTTAAAAACCTTAGGATCACCTGTTGGAGTCTTTAACGGTTATTACGACTTGTTCTGCCACTTAATGTTTTCTTCTTTCACTGCAATTTATGTTAGTTCCCTGCAAATTATATTGTATTTTGTGAGTTAAACATGCAACACGAATAGCAGCAGCAGATACGTCACGTGCATTCGTCACGTAAACAGGTACATTTTATTTGTTGTTGTTTTATCATTGCAATTTACTCTTGTTTTAACATATTATGCAGGTACTGATTACAATTTTATTTTCAAAACAAAACGATTTTCAAAAATTAAATAATATTTTCAAAAAAAAACCAAAAAAAAAAACACTTAACACGTCATTTTGAATTTACGGGAGTCCCTCGGAGGAGAAAACCCACTATTGCTAACGAGATCTCCCCGATTTAAATGGGTTTCATAACTCATTTAAACCAAGTAAACCAAGTAATCGAGGGAACCGTGGGATTATAACCGGTGTCACTTTAATCAACTTTAACCCCCCATAATGACAACAAAACCAAAACTTGAAACACACCTGAAAAAATCTTTTGAACATTATACTTTAGGACTGCTACTTTGACGAGGAGCTTGGAGCAACTTCGTGGGCAGCATAGCGAAGAATTTGGACCGAGCAGCACTAGGATCTTCTTCAGCAATCTCATTCCTAGTCTGCATAACAACTCTTAGAACTTCGAGGTAACTCGCCCAGCGCGACGTAAATTCTCATATCTTTTTTGGCTCTTGTACAATCATGTTGTGCAGCATAAGTCCTAACTCGTCTTAAGTTCCGAGGTTGTCGTTTGTTACGACGTAAACCCTCATCTCTTTGCGGGCTATTTGCACAATCGAATATTATGCAAATGTAAGTCCCAAATAATAAAATTGGCAGGATTAAACACTTAAATAACATCGTCCCCAAAACTCAACCACACATTAGGATAGTTTGGGAAGTCACTGAGGTTTCTCTTCAAGATCTGTGACATCCTCTACATTTTCCTTCATTTGGACTCCTGAAAATAACTGTTCTTATTTGAGTCACTCCCACTTGTCTTTCCACGTCCTGCCGTGAAAACTTAAACCTTGAAATCTTGAAAACTAGTACATCTGATCATTATCGAGACTTTTCTCAAGTGACCCCAGTCATTTGAGATGTAATTAACTACAGGGGTTTGTCTTTATAGGGAACTTGAAACCCAAGTAAAATAAACTCTATTTAATCTTTGTATTAAAGAAGGGAACTTGTCGGTCACACATAAAAGGTTCGCAGACCAAACGGATGTCACAAATCTCTTAATTTGTAGGATTTGGTTTATCGCTGAGGTATACACTTATCTTTCGAAAGGGAGTAGTATTCACGATATCGGGCCAAATTATGCAAATTATTGGACTAATAAGATCCATTTGGTCTCATTTTTTAAAAATTAAAACATACTACTTTCAAAACTCAACCTATATATCCATTATATTAAATTAGATTTCAAAATTATTTTCAATATTTTCAATATAAAAAAGTTGACCGACATACACACCTCAACTGAAATAATCACTCAACAAAAGTAATCTCCAAAACTGAAGTGAAGCACCACACAGAGCATCAATTTTGCACAAAAATAACAAAATTTGAGCGAACAGAAAGAGTAGAAGAGGAAGAGAATAAAGGGTCACTGGAATGCGCACTCACAGTCGAGAATAGCCGTCGGAGACACGGATCCACGGGAAGTATCTACCTAGGGCACAAGAGTCGTGGGAGAGGAAGCGAGGTAGAGAGGGGCCGCGGAGTAAAATTGCTCGTGGTCGAGGGAGTATAAACACGGGCCGCAGGTCGAACCTGCGGCCTCATTTTAACGATGTTTTTATAAAAAGCCACCACGACGTGATAACCAAACGACGAGCCACACATTTTCGGGCCGCGCCGCAAAAAACATGGTGTCAAACAGAGCCTTAAGTAAGGTCTACTACATGAATCGTTTTTCTCCATTATATCAAAATGAGCGTCAAATTTTCATTTAATTCTAATAAATTATAATTATTTTTATTTAGCATGTTCAAGTCTTCTTAGGTCTACCTCTAACTTTCTTAGCATAAGTAAAATCTAAAACATCTACTCCTAATAGGGTCATTAGGTGTTCGACATACAATGTGACCAAACCATCGAAGGCAACTCTCTTAAATCTTGTATGCTATTGGAGCTACTCCAACCTTTCCGATTCATATTTGACACGTTAAAAATTATACATGATGTGTGTTTTGAATTTTTTTTTTAACTAGAGTTGTAGATGCCTTGCTAGAATCTAGGCATGTGATGATGATGAATGGTACTTCTTTTATAAGTGTTTTTTACACTTTTTATTGATGATGGTGAAGTTTCTATCAAAAAGTATATCGGTGTAGTACGTATGGTGATTTATATGGGTGTCGTTCAGATCGTATCAATTAGTGATACATCAATATGCACATATTCTTAAGAATCATTTTGAAGATTACATACTCTTGTTTTACTATGACATTTTGTGTGAACAATAAAAGTTGATATTAGCATAATCATGCCAAATGATTGCAGATAATGTTGACGAATTATAGATAATTAAGTATATTAGATAAAACATTGAAACATGACTATGACTAAATCAATGAACCTTTTATTTTGATTGTCTTTAAACATTTACTGTGATAAGTACAATATTCAACTTTATTTTATGATCTTTTTTATAGAAAATATTAATATTAGGTGCCTTGATCATTCATTTTATATTAAAACTATATAAAAAAAGGCATTCTATCAATGGCAAGAAATATCTTGCCTTTTGCAGTATATCAAGTCCCATGTTCATATTAAATTGTATGTCTTATGTTGGTGTCCATGCTTCATGCGTGGCAGTGCTTCTAGGGTCAAAATTGGGTTGTTTCCAATAAGTTTCTTCATATTATGGTTATCCTTGAATTGAGCTAAAAACTTGAATCTTTGTTTTCAACAATGATATAAATTAATTTCTATATTGAATTCTAGATGCTGAAGAGTTATACAAATTTATTTATTGATCTTAATACATAGCAGCTAGCTCTTGACATAAACATCACATTATAGCAAGAGCAATGCAACTCATGCTCCAACCTTCTTGCATTGCCGCATGTTTCCTACAATTAATTTACTATCCCTATAATATTCCATTCTTTCAACATCAAATTCTCATGTCATGTTACTTCAGGCCATGTTTAGTTATCTCAAACCATAAATCAAATCAGTTCTAATTTATATTCAATAATTTTTCATTTCCAAAACCTGGTATAATAACTATAGTTATAAAGACTGTAAAACTAGTTAAGAGAAATTGTATTCCAAAAGCACTGGAAACAATTATAGTTCAATAAATATACTAGAGAACCTAACGGCAGAGAAGTAGATTCATGTCATGACTTTTTTCGACAAGTTTTACGCTGACTAACGATTACCTAACGCAACCCTCCACTTTTCACATGCAGACTTGGGACCGACAATGGCTGTATATTTAGTTTAAGAGAAATTGTATTCCAAAAGAACTGGAAACAATTATAGTTCTATATATATACTAGAGAACCTAACAGTAGAGAAGTAGATATTTTAAAAAAAAATTTACATACATATCACTCAATTCTTATGTATTTACACATCTAACACCTAAACATCAATTTTTACAAATATGCTGCCTTACCTATGCATGAAAAGATGTTTTTCACCTTTTAGAAGTTACAAAAATAGTGATATTATGTAATATGAAAGATTTGGGTGTGAAAGATTTGGGTGGCATAAAGTGGCATAAAGGTAAAAAGCAAAGTTTAAGTGTTAGATATGTAAATACATAAAAATTGGGTGGTATGCACAAAACTGTTCCCACCCCCCACCAACCAATGCCCATACAAAAAAAGCAAATGTACTGAACAGTGTTCATTATATTTATCTAAAACAAAATAATGAGAAATTAGTTTGAATTTAACAAGATAAGAGGAGAATCAAACCTGATCCTTTTTGGGATTTGAACTCTGACAACAAAAAGGTGATCACCCCTAACTGAGGGCTTATTGATATTTGGCACTCCCATTTTAGGAAATTTTAAGACCTCTCCAGGTTGAGTCCCAGGAGGAATGCAGAGGTCTCGACTTCCCTCAATCGTCTCAACCTAATTAGGCATTTATTTGCCCATATATAACTGATAAGCATTCATATAATTCAGTTCAATTTCACATATTATTTACAAACTCTCTTAAAAAAGGCAAATCACAATTCATAAACATTATAAGCAATTCACTGTATTATGAGGGACTAAAAAAAATGCTCAGGAAATGTCACCATAAATCTATATAACAACATAAATTAAAAAACGGAACTTGTCAATCATCTAATTGACAAAAAATAAGCTTTATTTCCTACCACGAATGAGGATGAGTGAGAGCCAAAGAAAGATCTTGTTTGGAAAAATTTTGATAAGCCCGAGTATCAAACAAGGGACCTACTGCCACTTTCAAGACCAAAAAGCCCCAGTGAGGAACTTGTCAAACCGTTATGTGAGGAACTACTCAATTTGTAATAAGCCTGAGTATCAAACAAGGGACCTATTGCCACTTTCAAACCAGAAGCCTAATCGTAATAAGCCCGAGTGAGGAACTTGCCAAGTTGTTATTTGAGGAACTTGTCAATTTGTAATAAACCCGACTATAAAACAAGGGACCTACTGCCACTTTCATACACATTTATAAAATAAAAACAAAACTGCAAATTTTGATTTCATCCTTTGTCCACCTAGAAATGCCCTAAATAAAACTTACAAAACTTTATCTCTAATGGTTTTCATTTCTTAAAAAAGGTTAAAAGGGTCCAACACAACTTTCAACTTTGGCGGGGATGATCATTTTCATGAATAATAGGACAAAATCCTCACCTAATATCTAGAGTCAAAGCTCCATACTGACAAAATTGAACAAAGAAACTCTCATATACCTCAAACATTCTTCTTTGGGAAATATTAAAATTATTGATAAAGACCATGACAGGTACCCGAGCCCTTTTCAATGGTTTTTAGTTCGTTTCAACAATAAGTAGCCATGTCATGTAACTCTAAACCACAGTCAAGCTAATATGGCAATCCCATATCAATGAAGGAATCAAAGTCCACCTCAAAAGCACATCATTCACACAGAATACAGCTAAATTGATATGCTCTACATATCTGAAAACAAGACAATCTGTGGATGCTAATCAGCCTCACAAAATGTTATGGTTCAAAAATCCCACTAACAATGATAGATTCTAGTATGACAGAAGCACAGTATCTTGACCGAATTTAATCATTGTCCACTAATTAAAATTGAACCTAAAATTAGCTAAAATACTTCAATCATGAGTGCTCATATGTAATTATAACGATACTTAATCACGTGAGCTTATACAAAAAATCTCAACTTCAGATCTAGAAAACACCCCAATCTAACACTTGGATAAATTTGCATTATTACATTCAATATACCTCAAAACTCCTAACTTCTCACATACATCAAAACGTTTTGATGTGTTTCTTCCTCGAGAGATTAAAGCCATTAATAAAAAATCCATAAACATGATATCTTAATTCAATATCATCCGAATGCATCTTTTAATAATTTGATACAGTCAAAAATGCATAGAAACAAATACCAAAACAGTAAAAGGTAATTCCTCAATGTGAAGGCTTAGGAAAACACTCACCCATTAACAAATGTACGCTTCATGCATTTAGCTTTAAATCGAGCTTAAACTTAGCCCTACACTCAAGTTGAAACCCATATTCAAGTTTAGGATGGATAGATGTAAAACTCGCATGCAAGTTCAACTTTGAGCTAAGTTGTAATCACAAATACAAAGTAACGGATGGATTCAAATTTCAAAAATAAAGTTTTCATGCATGGGGATTTTCTTCCAAAAAGAAAAATCATAATCATGCAATTCTCAATTCGAACAACCCCTTGTCAAGGGAAATAAGAGATCTAACATAAGTGACATTGTTTTAGAGATGAACACGAAATGAAAAAAGAGTAGAGCCAATGTTGGTTTGACTGAAACATGATCATGAATAATATCATTAACAAAATCCTCAACAAAGTATGAGATATAAGAAAAATCATAATCATGCAATTCTCAATTCGAACAACCTCTTGTCAAGAAAAATAAGAGATCTAACATAAGTGACATTGTTTTAGAGATGAACACGAAATGAAAAAAGAGTAGAGCCAATGTTGGTTTGACTGAAACATGATCATGAATAATATCTTTAACAACATCCTCAACAAAGTATGAGATATAAAAGGAACGTTATTTCTAATTAGTTGGTAATATGGGAGAGATTTAGGCTTCACTTGGATCCTACATATCCAAAGCTTCACTCTTTTGTTATGTAAATTTTTTATTTCTTTAGACATCAAAAAGTCAAGCACAGCACACATTTAAATCGGTAAAATTGCCTTCATGCGAATGCTGATAGAAAAGAGGTTGCCCTACTACTAATGGCACATTTGGGGTTTTGATAAATTTAAAAGACCACCATATCAGTCAATTTTAGTAAGATTACAAGCAACATAATTTCCAATGCCCAAAAGACACGATAACCACCACACCTTTCCACTGTATTCACAATCAAATAAGTGCCGTGACAATTAATCTTTGCACATAAGCACACCAAATAGCTAGGTGATGCCCAAGTGGAGTGCAAAGAGTCATAGTCAATGAAATAGGGCCAAAAAAGACACTGTGCTGGTTGCTAGCTCGATCAGTGATATTGTGGTTGATGATTTGAGTTGCACTAGAATCATCACTAGAAGTTGTTTATCGTTGAGCTAGTAGTTGAATGGGCATTTAAAGGTTTTGTGTAAACTTTTCTGCATGGAGATGTACAATATAACACATTTTATTCCATTTTTAACAACAACAAAGCCTTAGTCCCACTACATGGGATCCGTACACGAATCCTTTTTCTCCATTTTGTCCTATTTAGTGTCATATTTTCATTTAGTTCTAATAAATTGAGATCATTTTTTTATACAATACGCCAAAGTCTTCCTAGGTTTACCTGCCTTTCTTAATATAATTTGAATCTAAAACATCAACTCACCTAACCGGATCATCAGATGATTGACGTTTAATATGACCAAACAATCTAAGACGACTCTATCTAATTTTGTCTGTCACTGGAGCTACACCAACCCTATGACGAATAAAATCATTTCGCATTTTGTCTCTGAGTGTAAAACCACTCATCCACCAAATCATTCTCATCTCGGTAACACTTAACTTAGTATAACGCTTCTCTTTTAAAGGCCAACATTCAACGTCATAGAGCATGCATTGCCAACATTCAACGTCATAGAGCATTGCAGGTCTCACCACCCTCTTATAAAATTTTTCTTTCAGTCTACACACAAAAGGCCTATCACACAAAAGGCCTGAAGCACTCCTCCACTTCAACCAACCAACTTGAATTCTACTATTAACATCACCATCTATATCACATCGCTTTGAACAAAAATTACATTCTGTGTATTCAGTTTTACTTCCACTCAAATGTAGGCCTTTAGACTCCAATTTAGACTTCCATAATTCAAGTTTTTTCTGGGCTTTATTTCTCTTCTTATCCATCTTATCCACAAGAAGGATATCATCAGTAAAAAGCATACACCAAGGGACATCCTTCTGTAAATGTCCAGTAAGACCATCCATAACTAAAACAAAAAGATATGAACTTAAAGAAGATCCCTAATGTAATCCAACCGAAATAAAAAAATATTTGGTCAATCCTCCTTCAGTTTGAACACCAGTAACAACTCTAGTATACATATCTTTAATGACTTGAATGTAAGTCATATCAACATCTTTCTTCTCAAGAACGTTCCAAAGGACATCTCTTGGAATCTTATCATAATTTTTTTCTAAATCAATAAAAATTAAATGTAGATCCTCCTTATTATCTCTTAACATCTCCATCAAACCTCTCAATAAATGTATAGCTTCCATGGTAGACCCGCCCAACATAAAACCAAATGGATTATGAGAAATCATTGTAATACATCTTAACCTACGTTCAATTACTCTCTCCCATAATTTTAAAGTATGACACATCAACTTAATTCCTCTATAATTTGCACACTCTTGTGCATCCCCTTTTTCTCAAAAATGGGGACCAAAATATTCTTCCTCCACTCATCGGGCATCTTTTTAGTTTTTAAAGTCATGTTAAAGAGTTTAGTAAGCCAAGAAACTCCCAAATCTCTAAAATATTTCCACTTCAATTGGTATATCATCAGGTCCTACAGACTTTCCACCCTTGGTCTTCTTTAAAGCCTCCTCAACTTCTTTTTTACTAATGTGATGGTAAAAATGAAACGTATTATTATTATTAATGATATTAAGATCACTAAAGACGATCGCATTTTCAGAAACTTCATTAAAAAGTTTATCAAAATAACTCACCCACCTATGTTGAATATTTTTTTCTATGAAAAATACTTTGATTTTCATCTTTAATACACTTAGGTTAAATCATTACTTTCCTTTTATCATTGTTTGGTTAGTTTATACATATATTTTTCACCCTCCTTAGTATCTAATTTATTATAAGTATCGCTAAAAACATAATTTTTAGCATCACGGGTTGTTTTTTTACACTCTCCGCGAGCCGTTTGGTATTTTTTCCAATTCTCTAAGCTTTTAAAATTAAACCAATTTTATAACATAACTTCTTATATTTTTTCTTTTCTTGCACATTATTATTCCACCACCAACTATTTTTATTTATAGATTTTTTTTTTTTTGATTCTCCAAGTACATCTTTTGCTACTTGTTTGATAGTGTTTGTTATTTCATCTCACATATCATTTGCTTCTTCATGAACATCGCAAATTTTGAAATCTTGAATTTTACTCATTAAAATAATTTTATGTCTTTTAGGTTCCTCATATAATTCTACGATTATGAGTCCAAACATTCTTTATTTTACAACTCTTCATCTTAAAATCTAGAATAAAAAATCGTTGTTGGGTACTCAAATCCTCACTTGGAATGATCTTACAATCTTTACAATCTCGACAATTTCTTCTCATATAAGAATAATAAATTTGTATTTTAGTAGAACAATTCTTATAAGTAATAAGATGC